AAAACAACGGAAATAACCATCATCGCTTCTAAAGTAATGATCTGCACTTTTTGCATTTTGCAACTTTTTAAGTTCTTGTGAGAGTTTGTATTCATTTAAGAAAAAATCTGCATTTTATAATAAAAATTTACAAAAATCATGCATTTAAAATGCTTTCAGTGCTGCGAGGTACCTCGTCTTGTCTGTCTGGTCTCATCATCTACTTTGGAGGAAGCTATTTGCTCGTGCACACGCCTCAGTTACTGAAGCGTAAAGGTCAAGTCACCTAAGAGCTGTTATGCATCACACCCTGCCTGATGCCGAGGCACGCCATCGATCCCAAGCATGGTAATCACACTGAAAACCATGCCACCTGACACGCCGTAGCCCATTTACACATCGCACATGAAGCGCGAGCACCTCGGGGTGCTCTGCTGTCCGTCTTTGTCTCTGACAGGGCGGTCCCCTCCCTGCTGCCCCGTAATAGATTTACTCCCATCTCTCTGAGCACGTTGGCCTTGGGGCAAAGCATTGGCTCGGCCCCTGATTGACAGCTGCTGATAGCGGGTTGAGAGCTTGTTGCCAGGGGCTACAGGGGGACACCCTGCATCCACACATGCAGTTGCCATGGAAATAGGGAGTTCAGGCCTTCTGCCTGCAGATGGCAACGCTGCACTCCGAGTCAGGAGGGAGATGAGACCGGGGTACGAGGGCGGCAGGGCGAATCGGTGGCTGTCTCTCAAAGAGAGAGCGTGGGTTTGATTTTGCGGTTTGCACAGTTCACCCCGGCTTCACCTCAGAACCCCCCCAGGTGCTGCTTTCAATTACACACACATCAGGTGGAGAATCTGCACATTTGCACTCTTCCTAGGCATCGGTGAAAATGTCTGCTGCCAGTCTCTGCGCTGCTGCACATCAATCCTTCATTTTTTCCCCTCTTCTGTACATTATCTGATCATGTTTTATCGCTCAACACTGCAACTGCTGCAAGAGCATAAAAAACAAACCATCTATTAAAAATCACAAAAAGCCGATCCTGTGCTGTTTCTCAGCTGTTAGGCCACACGAGACAGGCTGTTTTTCCCCGGCTCCCTTCTGCTGTCTGACACAGGCCATGTGAACCTGTGAACTGAACCATATTTAGAAGGGGTGTGTGCACGCAGCTCTAACCACTTCCATTTACAGTGGCTTCATATCTGATTTCCTCCTCAGCATGCACATTTTTCCCACCCAGATGAGCAAAGTCAGGCTGACAGCTACTCGTACGTGGAACACAGTTTCAGCTTCTGTTTCATATTCAATTCCTCTGGCTGTCTCTGTGTGGACAGGAGTCATCAACAGCTTGGAGGGTTTCTCTCTCTTCCTCTCATACACACACATCTGTAATGGGCAGGAGAGGAGAAGGGAAGCAAGTTGAGGTGAAACCCACCACTGTTCCCATGTAGTCACCCTCTGCTGCTGCTGCTGCTGCTGCTGGGGTCAGTTTGCAGTATTTCCCACCTGAGTGACAAATACTGCAAAGCACTACTGGTTCTGTGAAGCTCAAAAGAAACAGAGCCCCTCTGCATGTCTCACATCTCCCGTCCTTATGCACTCTCCTCAGCCCGGGATTATTGCATTGTGACAGGCTGCTTACATGCAAGCAGCTGTAATGAGCGTGAACCACTTGAAGCTTAGAGGAAACAGCAGCATTGCATCTGATTGCATCCTCCGAGCTGCTCCGTGAGAAACGCAGTCAGCTGCCTCCGGATATTTGATTTATTCAGCTCTCAGATCCGGTGCGTTACCCACCGGGCGGTGCGCTGTGCAGCAAGCGCGGTTCCCACTGATCTTTCAGTACACCGTGTTCCATATAGTGTGGAGTCAAACAAGGACACGGCGTCTGAGGAATCACTTAATACCACCTTAAATTTGGATTAAATTTGCATAATAGTGTTTTAACAGAGACACGCCGGGACAGTTTGTTGTTGCTGTGCAGCAGAAAAGCCTCCAAAGTGCAGAAACACGTCACGCTTCGTGTTTTTCTCGCACACATTCCACTACAATTTAAAGCGTGATACCTTAAAGGCTTCACACACTCCTTTGGTTCCTGGCCAATAGGTTTCGGAGGCGTTCAGGAACTGTGGGGAATATAGCAACTCTTCAGCGAGCCTTCATTGATGAGCAAGACAAAAAAAGTCACTAAACTCCTTTTTTATGGAGGCTTGCATTCGCCGAACAAAACAAACAAACAAAGAAACTAGAGTTGTTATCGCAGAATCTCAAGTTCCATTTATTTTTCGACTTATTAGTTACAAATCATTTTCTTTCAGTTTTAACTTAATCAGTCGACATTTCAAGTCGTTTCCTCTTTCTTTTAGTTATTTTTTTTAAATTCACAGTTATATTCTCAATAATAACTCTAAATTTTAATTTATTTAAAGGGTTTTTTCCCCCTCAGCAGGTTCAGCTTGTAAATCAATATTTTTGAACTACCTAAATCAACATTTTGAGATAATAACCTGATTTTCTAAATTAATTATGGATATTAATAGACTTAGTCACAGTAGGCTTGGTTTGGCTTTAAGTAATTTTAATGTCAATGTACAGAATAACCACAGACTGTATATAAAAGATGGAACTAGCCACTGTAATATCAGTTACTGGTTTCTGGACAATATCAGTTTATTTATTTATTTATTCATTTTTTATCTTGGACTCAGGAGTAACCAGAGGTTTGGACAAAAGCTAGTGGTGCTAAGCTATCAACTCATTTTAGCAAGCCCGGTTACCAAGTTAAATCCACTAACTGTCCACCTCAATGACTGATTCTTCAGATGTGTTTTATGTATATGTATCACATGGACATTTAGCTTGTAGCTGATGAAGGTGGTTGATGGTCTGTATTGCACAGTATTAGACACATATTCAGATTAGATCCATGATGCGTCATGGAGGGACGCATCATGGATCTAGTAACTCCAGTTAGCTGAGGTCTACTTTACAGAATGAGTATCCTTGGGCAAGATACTAACCCCATGTTTGCATACTGGTGGCGCCAGTGTCCGGCAGCCTCGCCTCTGGCAGCATGGCAGTAATCGTACTTAGTATTTCAAATGACATTAAAGTAACATAAAACAGGTCCCGTTGCAGCAATGTTAAAAAAATAATTTTGTGAACTTGTTACATTTATGAAGTGATTGAGGTTACATTTCATAAAATCTCACTGTGACATTATTTTTTCTATAACGTTTTTTAAAAAGTGCTTGTGTGGTTAATTTGTGAACACAGAGCAATGCTGTCACAACGCTGAGTGTTGCAAACATATCAGTTTATGACCAAATACAACAGTTGCATTATGTAATGTGCTTCTAGGCTTCTAGTGTTTTCTAGAGCTGCCTATTTTTGGGACACCTTTCCCCTAAATAAATGAGGTATTTAAGACAAAAAAAACTCCTTTATTTATGGAAATATGTCTGTGAAGGTTCTCAGTCATCCAGGTCATCGTAGTCAAAGGAGCTTGCAAAGAAAAGTGTCTGGCTCAGGGGATTAGAGGATCATCAGGGGGTCCTTTTGTCCCTCTGTGGGGGGATACTCCCACTAGGTTTATATCTGGGACTCTCCACCATTTGACCTTAGAACTGAAGAAGCTTCTCGGATGAGAGGTGAAACGTCTTCAAGCAACTCAAAGAAGTCCAGACGCTTTTCTTTGCAAGCTCCTTTGACTATCCAGGGAAACTGTTTACTGCACTATCATTCTTCATGTAAACATGCGTTTTAACTTGAACACTTTAAATGAGATCTGTGCGAAGAACCTGGACGTCACGAGCCACCGCTCGAGAACGAGGTGGGATTGTAGGTATGCAGATTCCCAGCCAAAGGAGGGGATGCGTGAACGCAGCACAGTTGTGAGATCAGCTGATTTTTTACGCTGCCATTTTGTCCAGCACAGGAGCGAGCATTCAGTCAGTGAGTGAGTGCGCAAAGAGAAACCACTGGCGAGACTTTCCATACGGCGGCACCGGACCGAACTGTCGGTAAGAAAAATAAAAAAAGAACAACGGGAGCCAGTAATGTGGTGACGGCAGACGGAGGGAAGCACCAAACTGAGCCCGAGGACCGTGAAGGGAAACAGGCGAGCTAAGGGAGCTGTCAGGAGGTTTTTTTTGTTTCTTTTTTTTTTTAACTCAGCGGCTCCGCCGGCTCGGCTCCCCGGTCACAGACCACAGGAACCCGCTTTCTCTCTACCCGCCCGCCCGCCTGGCTGGTTGGCTTTAGCTAACCCTGCTAGCATCTCGGCTATACCCCACCGCCGCTCCTCGCGTCTCCTCTCACCGTGGGAAACTGCAACTGTCCCGGCTGTCAGTGTCACACCGTCCTCCTGTAAACTTCAAACAATGCGCTGCTCCTGTCTGAGAGACTTTTTACGCCCAAGGGACGATTTAACGCACGCTTCGCCAAGCGACCAGTGATAGCTGAGCTGCGGTCCAAGCTAACAAGTTGACGTGGAAGAGGAACTCTATTTTTTTTTAACTGTTTTCCAAGCTGTGATTTCACCAGGATTACTTTCCCCCTCTGCCCTGCCCGAGTTGGACTCGACTTTTTGGTGACTCCGGGTTACAAAGCAGCCAGTTAGCTATGTTTATTTGTGGCCAGAAAGTAATTTCAAGTGTTTGCGGATTCCACAGTGGGACTCTTTCTTGGTTCGAGTACTGCAACGGAAACATTAGCTAACACAGACTGGCTCGTGTTGTGTTTACTGCATAAATAGATAGACGGAACAAACAGTTGCCAAACATTTTTTGTTTCATTTTTAAATTCAGATTGTAGTTAAACAGATTGTTCTTGTACCTGTCGTGAGCTGACATTGCTGCACAGGTTGTGTGGAAGACAGTGTGTGTCTGAGTGTGTGTGTGTGTGTGTGATCCCTGCTCTCTGTTACCTCCACTCGACAGTGAAGTCACGTTGAGTTGATCCATTGATCGGATCGTTATTGTACTATTTTCGCTGATTGAAGGGGGGAAAAGAAAAAAGTCGGTGCGATGTCGGGCCAATCTATCACGGATCGGATCACAGCAGCTCAGCACAGCATGACCGGGTCGGCTATCAGCAAGGCTGTGTGCAAAGCCACCACGCATGAAGTGAGCGGACCGAAGAAGAAGCACCTTGACTGTGAGTAGACCCCCCTCCACACATCATTCCGCTCCCCTTGTATCTGTCCTCTTCTTCACTGTAACCTGGCTGTGGTTGGACAGTCCAGTCCAATCAGCTAGATTAGACAGCAAATGGTTTTCTGTCACATATGTGTATGGCTGTAATGGCTGGTGATCCTATTAAAGATCCAGAACGTTTCAAGTCGTTGAAACCCTCATTTTTTCTACTCTTGGCTCTCTATGACATCACTGAGAGATACTATCCCTAATATGGGCTTCTCTGGAATGAGCACCTCCTGCCCCACCCTCCACCAATCAGAAGCCCTACAAGCTGCATTTGCTTCAATGGGCACTTGATGCTGGCTTCATAAACCCCCATGTTAAAATATCCAACTTTACAGTAAAAATAAATAGTGTTGTGGTTTACATATTTGCCAGGGACCATGGAGAGTTTTCACGCTCTTAAAGGCCACTAGTTACATCACACAGTGACAGTGAGATTAATAGACAACCAAGTGCACTTATGCTTGCCATATAGCTCTTCTACAGAGCAAAACTTTCAAGGTTACAAAAATGGAGAGGTGCACAACTGGCTAAAACGATGCCAAAACGTGGCTTGTGCCAGCAGACGTGATGCCACTTATGCCATACGCCGCTGGTCGCAAGGGCGAGCATAGTGGACCCCTTAAGTCGTACCCCTCAAAGGTGTATGCTCAGCCTCACTGCCACAAAATAAAATCACTGAAGTGGGTTGTTTGAACCCATTTGTGCTGTTGGTGCCTTTATAATTATGATGGCAGTAACCGAAACGCCAACATTGAGGCTTGAAACTTGCAAGTTGAACACCACTGGGTGACTTCAAAGTGGCTACATTGGTCTTTTTTACTGACTGTGGATCAAACCTTCTGTTTGTGAGAAGCAGCCAATCAGAGGAAAGTTGGCGTTTAAAGGGAGAGGAAGTAGAACAGCTTATTTCAGCATTTATTTTGAATGGTCGGTCATGCAAAGCTGTGCTATATTCATGTGATTTGCAAAGCACAGAACTGTGTGCATATGTTTCCTGGTGACTGCAGCAAAGAAGCGACTGAGGTGTAACTTTCATTGGGTTCATGTCCTCAGGAATAGAGAGGAGGCATCACAGCCAGCAGGTGAAGCAGTCTCTAGATGTCCCTGCTGTTTTTTTGAAATGTGTCATTCCTGATTTGTTCAGTCAGTCTCTCAGGCATTCAAACTACAGTTGGGAGAACATCTGAACATCAAGCCAGCTCACTGTTTTAGATGATGTGTCACTCTGGAAGGTGTTGAAAAGTTTACTCTCGACTTTTTGGCCATCCTTTTTTATAAAATTCACCCACGCCGGTGACTTCTGAGACAATATGCTGCTTAGTTTGAAGTCGACTCTGACTGGAACCTTAAATAGATTAGACCTGGCACTCTCTGTTAGGTTAGGCGAGTACAAAGCTGTGAAGAAAAAAAAAATTCACAGCTTCTCTCGTCTTCCTGTCACCAAAAATAATAGATCAGTCCTGAAAGATTGGACAAGTAGGCTCTCGTCTACAGCTCTGTGTAAAATGAGTTCTTAAAACTCAGAGATGCTAAGTTTTACTATCAAAGATGGGGATACACTCATACATCAGATAACTGTTAAATGATATCAGCTCATCATCAAGCACAGTTTACTGATGTCAGTGGCTGATAGCTTTCTTTGTCGCATAAATTGTGGGCGTAACTCTAGGAATGGGTGGAAAATCGATTCAGCACAGTGTCTCAATATTGAATTGATAGAGAGACACCAAATATCAATATTTTATTCAATAAATCCAAATAAATAAACTAAAATACTCTGGGAATACTACTCTACTAACAAGACGACCCATCTCACTTCCCTCCTGAAATAGGTTCAGCTAAGGCATCAAACACATTTTGCTTGGCAGAATATATGAATACCAACTTGACCCCATTCAATCGTAGACTGATATCGGTCTGTTTCTCTACTAGTTAAATGTTCTGTGTGGAACATTGCTGGAAGAATTTCAAACACACCATGTACTTTCGTGAAGAATAGCTTTTGTTTCCAGAGAGGGTAACAAATAAGAAAACAAATAAAAATAAGGTCCATGTTGATGTTGGCCAAGATTTTCACAGTTGGTGTGTCCCGAACCCAAAATGCCAAACAAACCATAGAATTGTCACATTTCAGGACCTTAGACCTGGATGTTTGAGTTTTATTGCTTGAAAATGGGTGAAATCTATCAAATAGGAATTTAAAAAAAAAAAGAAAAAAAAAAAAGTTAACTGTTTCCCTATGATAGCAAGAATTCCTTAGCTATCTTAACTATAATCACTTCCCGTCTGTTCTGGAGAACCACCAAATGCCTTTTTAATGAAAAGCTTTGATAGTTTGTTTATTTGTTTAATCATGTTAGAATATTTCAGCCTTCTTGAGCTCCCTAAACAGCATTGAAGAGCTTAAAACCATAGATCTGTCAGGGTCGGGGCAAGGTCAGTTTGAAATGAGGCGGTGTTTGAGTTAGGCACTACACCCAACATTGGTTATAGATAGACACTTAAAACAAGAAGTTAGGGTTAGGTCAAGCTGTTGGATTGGCTTTAAATGCCATTGTTGGTTAGGGTTGGACACCACACCCAATGTGTTGAAGGTCAGGTTAAACTGTTGGGTCACATGTAATTGAGTTTCGTAAACTAGGTTTGGATACAAAACCCAAGGTGGTTGGGCTTAGGTTCAGAGTCGGCAGCTGACCATTTAAACTGGAGGGGCAACCAACTTTAAACAGGAGAGTAATTGGCTTAAGCCTCTTTGCTGTTCTAACCAAAAACAACTATATACACCTAATATACTCGGAGAGAAACGTAGCCACCCAAAATGATGAAAGCCCCAACCAGTCAGGGCAGATGATTGCCCGTCCTTAAGCCTACTTCTGGTGTAAGGTTCTTCCTATTAAAAGGGAGTTTTACCTTCCCATGGTCACCAAAATGTTGGGGTTTACTCTTTTATTTGAGTGTCTTTGTGATTTGGTGTTATGTAAATACAACTTTATCTGTTAGATTGTAGGAAAAAAGCAGTAGAAAAACACATTTTCTCTGTAGGTGCAAAGGTGGATCAATGAACCCATTACACCCTGACATAGCTTGGTGTGAGTGCACAATCCTCAGTACATTTCCATTTGTTTTGCAGTTTCTCACCTCAGACATTTATAATTATGATAATCTGATGTGCACCTCCCTAGAAATGTAACTACTGGTCTGCTCTATGCAGCTCACCACTATTGTGAGTGGGCTGTTCAGCACAGTCGATTCCTCATGTGCATTTCTGCTTTTTTTTGTAGTTTTTAAATGTATCAGGGAGAGAATAACAATCAATACAAAGGTAATAATCATAGCATCAGTATGATGCGCAAATGTCGTTAAATTCTTGGAGGGAGATTGCTGAAACTGTTTGGAGGGAAGTGGGGGAATGTACAAGGAAGTGGAAAAACTAGAGGGACGTAATGTAGGGAATGTCGTACGTTAGACAAAGATTGCTCACAGGAATCCAATTCAGGGCTTGGACATCATAGGGTTAAATTGAGATGCCATTTGGCTTTTCTGCTTGTCAAAGTTTAAACAGTAACCGTCTAAATGGTTAGTGTTAACATTTTTGTCAGCTGACTAATCATGCCAGCACCTGTTCTTATTTGTGAAGCTCTAATCAGCCAATACATTACTTCAATCAAAGGCTTCTGGTGTTTTGGGGTCTGGCGCCGATACGCAGCTCTTGTAGCCAGTTCCTTTAGTACGGACTTCAAGAAGAGTCGTAGACAGAGATAACACAGCAAGTGATAGAAGTCCCGAGGTCCCAGAAGGATGCATTGTGGTTATCTTGTTTTCAAGGAGAGCATAAATCACTCAAATGCCTCACAGATCATGGGAGAAACATGACATTTCTTGATATGGCAGCTTTGATGGCCTTTATTTGTTGGGAAATCCCCTCAGACACTTTCAGGTGCAGCAGCGCAGAGCACATTGTACTCCCATCGCCTTTTAGATTAGTAATTGATTCCTGATTGTCACCTTATGTCCTATCTTGGTCATAAAGAGTGAATGACCATATTTCATTGTCAGTGGCATCCCTCAAATTAAACCTGAGTCATGTCGAAGGTGGCTGTGATGCAAATGTGCCATCATAAAAGAGCAAAAAAATGAATAAATGGAATGAAAATAAAACTGAGTCGCACGTGTGCGTATGTGCAGCGCCGTCTTAGACATTGCTGAGACTAAATGTGCTGAAGATCTGTTTCTGGGAACTGCCTTTGTCGGCTGTGGGATGCACATATTTGATTGATGTTTCAGCTCAGCTGCCTCGCATCTGTCAACTCCGCCTCCTCCTCGCTCACAAGACTCAGCTGCTGACGTTAGAGGAAAAAGACATGCATTGTCTCTGTTCCTTTGTGAACCTGGCCGGACTTTAATAGCCAATATGCCACGTCAAGCTTAATCATTATAGATATTGATTTCTTTGTGAGAGCAACAACCTCGGTGCCGTTGGGGGAAGGGGCAATCAGTGAGCAGTGCATTGCATGGTATTTGTCCTTCTGATGATTTTAACACGAAGATAACATGCAGTGTTGTCAGGCTGTTAACTTCATTGTGTTGCTGGTATGAAGGAAGGGCAGCCAGCAGGCAGGAATAAAAGGCAGGCTATCTGTTTGTCATTCAGTCTGGCAGGTAGTCAATTTGTGAGTCGGTTAGCAAGAATGTGAGGCTGGCAGGGAGTGTATTCGATCACTACTCAGTCAACTAGTCAGCCAGCTTATTCAACTATCCAGTAAAGCAGTAAATACTGGATTGTCTGCCTGTAGGTGAGCCCCATTCATGCTGTTATGCTTTCCCTTGTTATACTGTTACAGCAAGGGAGGCTCAGATCAAACATAGATTTAAATACAGAGGTCAGCTTATATGAAGGTAATCACTGTGAGCCAACAACCTGT